AGAATTGGGGGGGGGGGGGGGGGAACATCCGATGACTAGACATCTAACGTGAAGGTCGTATTCACATCACGTCACCCGATCCGCGAAAAAAAAACTGCATAGATGCGAATGTGTCCGATGGTCCAGGAAAATTTCGGCTGCTTGTACTGGCAGTTTTGTACTCGGAAGGAGTTTCGGTACGGTAAATTAAAATAATAATTTAAAAAATGAAACGATAAGGGGTGAGGTCGTGGTGGGGCCAGGCAGATCGAACGGAAGAATGTGACACTCGTTGGTGGTCAAACATTTCAGGGCCTTCTTTTTCCTTCCTTTGTCTTCTTCACCTCCACTCCGTATCTCAGCCCCATACCAGTCCGTGATAATCATCTCTCATTAAATGCACGGCCTGGCCAGCTCGGTATCGGGGTCTTTATTCTTTTTTTTTTCTCCTTCTTCCCGTCCGCAGAAAAAATCAGTTGGACCGAGCTAGCTGTCAAAGCCATTATATTCTGGTATGCGGCGGAAAGGGCAAATATCTTCGATCCCTATCGTTACAGGTTTTTTCTCTCCTATTTATTTTTCTGGTTTTTTTTTCTTTTTTTCTTTTCTTTTTTTTTTCTTTTTACTGGCCAGTACTTTGCGTTCGATCGTTCCATCACGACACCTTTCGATGAGGAGACGCGTCCCTCGGATCGAGAGACCCTCGTAAACTCCACATGTTCGAGTTGTCGAGATGTCATCTGCCGGTCGAACAACAACAAGGGGGGTCGGAAGGGGGGGGGGGAGGGTCGGAAGAGGAGGGGGAATCGGTCGAATGGATTATCGACGGTTCGGGAGATCACAAAAGTACGGATCGGTGACTCGACGGGAGGTCGACAACACGGCCTGGCTTTATCCAGATTATCTGTTTCTGATATTGTGAAGAGGAGGGGGAGAAACGCATTACGGAATTATCGTCCCCCGGATCATCGGGCTCCGTGTCCCGAGTCCCTCGGCGTTGCGTTACACCTTCCGAAATCCCGGTTCTTACAGAAAGGGTCAGCTCCTACGGACGAGACCGACGTCGTCGGTTTACTTAGAGCGAAGCCGGGTTTTTTTGGGGGGACGTCAGTGAAGCTGTGCAAGAAGCAGGCGGTAAGAAACGAGATACGAACGAAGGCAATCGGACGAAGTGGATTCGGACCTCCCTCACCTCGGAATCGGACTCCTCGCCTCGACGGGAACGAAACAATGGGTAACAAAGTAGGAGAGAGAGCACAAAAATAAATAGCCTCTTTTTCGGCATTTCTTTCCTGTTCGCTCGTAGTCAACCTCGTGACGAAACGACACGGAAGGAACCTTGACAAAATCGTTCGATGGAAACTTTTTTTTTTCCGTACCGAAAACACCAGGCGTGAAGCGACGAGATTTCACGGAGGTTCGGCTTGTTTCGTTTCGTCGCCATTGTGGCCGCAGCACGCCTTCACTCGCTCGTTCACGCGCTCATTCGCTCACTCGTTCGCTCGGTCGGTTCACGGTTCACGTGTTTCCGCGATGGCGGTTTCTTCGGTGCGTCCTCCACTGACGGAGTCGCAGGAGTTTCTCCCTCCGTCGCCTCTTCCACTTTTCCTTCCGCGAGGTCAGTTTCTTTTGCGGGTGTCGCACGTGGGTCGTGTGGGTCACGTGGGTCACGGGGGTGGCGGAGGTCGTGGTCGCATCGACGACCGCGGGGGTCGTGGTCGCCTCGACGACCGCGAGCGTCTGCCGAGTCGGTCCGAGGCGCTGCTTGCGACGCCGGCGTCGCTCCCGCTGTCGCTCCCGGCGCCGCTGTCGCATCCTCGCGCGCCACACTCGCGCCACCTCGCGCCGCGGCATTTTCTCCTGCCCCGTCTCCATGGAATCCACGGGGGTGAACATGGAGTAAGATCTGATCTTGCTCGCCGGCCGGGATTCCCCGTCCTTGCGGATCGCCACCAGTCGCTTCCGCCCCTTCTTCCGGAATTCCTCCGAGTAGTACGAGGAGAAATGGGCCGTTTTCTCTTCCCTGAAATGACATTTCTCCTTATCTCGCAACTGAAAGAGAAGAGATCCCTTCCTCGTCAACACCGATGGAGAGGATTCTCAACCGGCAAAATTTTTTAGAGCAACATTCGCCGCGATACATTTAGATGGAAGTCTCACCCGCAATTTTAGTCCCTATTCGTTGACCTGGAAAGCTCCACGGCGAAAGAACGCCACAAAGATCTAGGAACCTCATCTAACCGACCAAGAGACCGTTCCCCCCCCCCCTAATTTTCTTCAGAGGGATCCATGAATATCATGAAAGGATGTGCCATGTCATAAGTAGGGGCTTTCTTTCCTCATACAAGAACCCCATCTATCGTTCGACCTGTCATTCAAATGAGGCTATAGCAGCCTTTCGTCGCGTTTCATCCTTAACCGCGCGGTCAGACTTAACGCTAGGAAATTCCACTCATTTTAACCCTCAATTTAAACCGGCCGTGCACGGACTGGGGAAATTATTATTATAAATTCAACGGAATTCCTGAGGATCCCCTTAAAGAATTTTTATCGCCGAAAGACGCAGTCGAGAGCCGCTAAAGACCCGCTAAAGAGCCACTAAAACACACATGTCGTGATGCGCCTCGCCTAATTAAGAGCTCTTTTTTTTTTCTTTAAGCGCGTCCTCGTTTGTTGGGCTCGTGGGCCCTGTGATTATCAATGGGGGTCGGGGACGTAATTACAAGATCACTTACGGCATTATCAGGCTCTTCAGGCTGCAAAAAAAAAGAGCTCGGACAGGTGGGGGGGGCCTCGATGCGCTTTTTTGTTTTAAATCTCGTGGTGCTAAATGAGAGGGGTTGGGGTGGGGAGTGTGAGAGGGAAAAGAACTTACGCCGCCGTAAAGAAGCCCGTCTCGGTCCATACATACGTACAGGCCAGTGTGGTAATGCTGGAAGCTGATGGTGTAATCCGGATTGAGCTGCAACTCCAATTGACCTGAAAATAAATGGAGGCTCGGATTACTTAATTGATCCATGGTCTCAACGATATCGTATTCCGCAGATTTATGTCTGAAGAAAGGTTGCATTTGGGAGGCAAAAAAAAATGTTTGTTGGGGAACAATGGTGTGGGTTCACGCGATTTACCACTCGTCAATTTCTTCTGGATTTATTAGGATATCGTCTTGACTCGAACGTTCGCGAGACCTCTTGAAATACGCTTTCGCCTCATACAACGAAAAAAAAACTCGGTGAGAAATAAATCATCATATCGGATATTTCACGCTTTCCATTCGAGAACCCGCGATCCCTGAAACCCCTCCAGCTAAATGAGGCACGTATCCGGCACGTATCCGGCGCGTATCCCGAACTTATCCCGAACCCGCCACCGATCGCATGCAGCATGTAATTCGACCCTCTCGTCGGAAGGGGTTTCCTCTTATTTTTTTTGCATAATTTCTTTTCGTTGCCATTCCGTTCCCGATGCTTCGAATGACGGTTGCGGGGCAGGATCACCCTGAGAAATCCTCGCCGTTCGGCCGTTGAATGAAAGGGCGTGAAAGGGCATGAAAGGGTGTCGGGTGCATCGACAAAGAAGGCGATCTCATTCCCTCGTGAGAACGCTTCACACACTAAAAAAAAAAAAAACATTTGTGCGAAATGGGATCCACACGAGAACAGGGGTCCACACGAAAACGGAGGTCCACATGAGAACGGGGGTCCACAGGACTTATGTCACACAATACGGGGTGGAGCATGTCCATTTTAGGTGTCTTCCTCTCAGAGGGCATCGCATCTCTCGTTGACACCATGACCTACATGCATGATGAAGATTCATTGACTGGATTCTTCATCAGATTCTTCATTTGATCCTTCATCTGATGTCTCCCAGATCCCCCTTTGAAACCCGTATTCGCTGCAATTGCGATCTCTGAGAGAAAAAGAGAGAGAGCCTCTCTCCACTTCGAAACGGGATCGATCGTATCGCGCTCCCCATTCGCTTCATTCATGGATCGTTGTGGGGTCGTGCATCGTTAACGACAGTTGACGATGCCACCCGGACGATGCAACGCTATTCCCCGCCTGTTAATTCTCGCTCCCCCCGATCCTATCGCCTTTGAGATTTGTGCTGACGCCGGGTGGCTTTTTTTCGTGTCTCGGACCAGATGAGATCCGTATCGGGCTGTTACCAAGAGCCGGTGTTGTTTTTATCCTTTTTTTCCCACATCTGGGTAGCGAGAATGCCGTCTTTTCCGTTGCGCGAGTCGCTCTTGATGGAACTCGAATGATAATGCTTTATGGCGCCACTTTTCAGGAAATGACGCTCGAAATTAATTAACTAACGCGAGCATCGGTGCCACCCGATACACATTGCTCATTACCTGGGGTGACGATAACGATACAAGTGTTCAATCTAAGAGATCCCCTCGGGAGGCAAGGTCCTCTCCTTCCCGTGAGAAATTTCTCTCTTTTTTTTTGCAATTGCAGATCGGACGCGGTGAGCCGTGACAGAAACCCGAGATTTCCTATCATCCCGGCTCTTCGATCTGACGATCCTATCGTCAGGTCGCCTGCATGAATAACTAACCGCTCGATTACACGGTCATGCGACCTCTCTTGTTTGCCGGACGGCATCAGTTTGGCAAAGCCTGTCATCAATCTCCTCCTCTTCCTCCTCCTCTCCTCCTCTTCCTCCTCCTCTCCTCCTCTCCTCCTCCTCCAAGTTTGTCCTCTGAACATGGCAGCTGACCCCGCGTCGAGAGATCGGCCCGCCGACAAGCTTCTGTCGGCCGTCGGCGAAAGCAGGGAGGGCATCGCGGGCTTTGAAGACTTCATTGAACTTGTTGAAAATGGTTTATCTTCCTCCTTGGGGGCCATTGTAATCCTCTGGGAGATAGCCTCTTCGGCCCGACTTGGTTTGAGGGTGAGGTAAGTTATCCCACGATACTTATCTCCCTTTTTTTATTATTACAATGAAAACAAACTCGTGATCGCGCTGCTTTTCGATTGATTCATAGGAAGTCCCTTTGACATCTCCGGAGATTTTCGCTCGCTCTTATGGAAATTCGCAAAATAATTAACAGTTGTTCACGAAAAATTCTGAGACGAAATTATCTCAAAACTAGACACGTGTCAATTCCCTAAAACACGTTTTGTGGGACAATAAATTCGATGGAACGGGTCCACGTGGTTCCTGGTGGTCCCCAGATGAAAACCCCAGGTCAGCGATTGCAGTCCCTTGGGGTGCCTTAAAGACACATAAATTGACCGAGATTTGATACATTCAAACTGAGTTTGATGACCTCCGGGAAATAGGTCGGCACCTTGCCTCTAGAATAGAATTGATGCGGCCGGCCGATGGCTGCTTCCCATCGGGGATGCAGGTGGTGGGTGGCTTGGAGGACCCACCCGGCTGGATGTCCACCGAATCGGTCAAACTTCGGTCCGCGTTTGATAAGCGTGCTCTTATCGCGTTGGGGGAGAAGTGAATGAAAACATGATAGATCTGGATCACCTAATCTGAAGTCCCATCAGACCGTATCTCAAGATTTTCATTCATTTTACGTCGTTCGTTTTCTGGGAAACGTGGATGAGATAACGGTATCCACCGCTCGTCGTAGTTCAGAGAATTCAGCCGACCGAAAATTGACCATCTAAGGAGTTCAAGTGCGAGAACTGCATGATTGGGTTTTGGACTGGACGCCCTCGAGCTTTGAGAGGTCACGTGCCGCGGGGAGCACCTTCGCGTCACGTGTGGTCTTTTTGCCTTGGATCGGATCTCAAGAATGGGTCTTTACAATATCCTAAGCATGTTTCGTGTGAAAATAAGGCATGTATGCAAAAATAATAAATAAATTCTGCGTGGTTCGCAGCTCTCCTAATCCGTATTCGATTATTCTCTTCGCAGGACACAACCCCAGAAAACCATTCTAACGTGATTGTGACCCCTTAGATAGGAAGGGAAAAGATTTTAAGACAGGGATGCGCAGAAGACGAAGGACAAAGTTAAGTAAAGCGAAGAAGCCAGACGGGGAAGGCGAGGAGTCCGTCCTGTCCCTCAACGCTGGAAGGACGACCGACCGTACGACCGATGAGTTCACGTCCCTTGCAGACAAGGGGTAAAGAACTCTATCTATCGCCTCCTCTCTCTACCCGAACAGCTCTCCAGACACAATGAGACTTTTCTGAAAGCAAATTCGTTGAAAAGCCAGGGCACGTAGGAATGCTGATACGTTTCAAAGCATAAATCATGAGAGCAAACTGTCCCGATTGCGATTGTAAACTCCCTCTCTTCACTCGATGAAGCCCCTTAGGGGGGGGATGCCCTTGTCTATTTCTCGGAGGGCAGGCCTACCCTTTCATACTTGATCGACCGAAAACTTGCCGTTAAATTTTCTCCACCAGTGGTTGAAGGCTGGAGGACCTCCCCCTCTCCCCCCTCTCTCCTCCCTCACTGCCCTCCCCACCTTCCCTTCCTTCCTCCAGGTTCGACCGTGCTGTTGCTGGAGTTCTGCGAGGACTGCGTTCCTCGTTCTAACCAATTTGGGCGATTCCTTCTGGATACGAAACGTCTAAAAAGGGCACGGAGATATGAAAAGAAATGTAAGAGACGGAGCAGACGGAAAAGGCCGTCGGATTGCCATACATAGATTTCCATCTTTCCCCATGTCCAAAAATAATTTCCCCAACGAGGGATCCTCGCTCTCCGCCCATCCCTTTCCGAAACGAGCCTTTGCCCCTCCCAGTCCAAGAGGTCAGAACCGACTCGGAACAGCACGATTATAAACGATTGAATGTTGGACTCGAGAACGAGAGTCCCTCGGCAGCGCCCCTTAGCAACACTACATGATCCACGATGATACCCGAGCCCTCAGGTCCATGCAGGATGTACAAGGTGGCCATAAAGTTCGTCCGTCGTTTGGAGCGGCAAAACTCGCGAACCGCGGGAGGTAGAAACGTGAAAATCACGAGAGATGCAAAACACTCGATGGGGAGCATCACGGGATGAAACTATTAACAAAACAAGAAAACAACCGTACAGAGGGCGCTACTGCATCGATAGCTCAACACGGCCTCCATGCTGATGCGTTCCTTGCGATTCCTCGAGAGATGTGCAACTTCGTTTCCAGCATCATTTAATGCACGTATCACTAATCAGCACTGAGACTATATTGAACGATCGATGTAGTGGCGCCCTCTGTACGATTGTTTTTTTTTTTTTTTTTTTCTTTGTTTTTTTTTTTTTTTTTTTTTGCTTCGTTGTTTTTTTTTTTTTTCATCCCATCGTGCTCCCCATTGCGCGTTGTGCGTCTATCGTGAATTTCACGTCCTTACCTCCCGCGGTTTGCGAGCTATGCTGCACCGAATACGTACTTTATGGCAACCTCGTACATAACCCTGGATTTAACCTTGTGCATAACCTTGTGTATAACCGAACCCCTGTGTGAGCTTCCGCCTTCCCCGGGACCTCGTGGCGGCCCCAGCCGACGATCCCCGTCTCGGCAAACATCAACAGGCCGACCTCCTTTCCACTTGGGCCTTTGATCCCGTTCTGCCCCTGACACGTGACCCGGGGTCACGTGACCTGAGGTCCTTCCGGCCTCTTCGGCATTTCTCTTGTGTCCGGGGTGTGCTGTAAGCAGACCTCCAGACAAACTAATTTTTAAAGTTTTGTTTTACATGTGATTTGTTCGGAGGCAATTTCGCCCTGATGAGGTGAGTTGCTGCATTGTGATGCATTTACAGCGGGCGCAAATAATACAGGGTGATACTGAGAGCAAAATGCCAAAAATGTGCATTTTTAGGGATTTGTCGAAAAAAAAAGGTAAGCAACCGTGTGTCCTCGCATGGCCTCGGCTCGTCGCGGAACCGAAAGGGGAAAATTCCCTGAAGAGTTCATGATCACATATCTCAGAAAAGGACCGCCTAAGACCGTTCTGGAACACCCAGCAAAATGTTACTTTCAGGTTCCAATCACATGCAATTCCACTTATTCCTAATGGTGACATCAGCGGTAGAAACCAGCAGATCTGTATGAACGGAGAATATCATAAATTTTTCACGTTTTGCTCCACACGCAAGGAAACCTAAAATATGATTGTTGCTGCAACTTCTGCATCTTAAAAGGGCTGCATGTGGGACAAATACGCTTTGAATCGCCATACATTTCTATACGCTTGATGAAATATTCGACTCCATCCACGATTTCGACTAAATACCGCGACACGAATCCATCTCTTGATGGCAGGTGAGAGATGGTACAGTTTTGCGATGAGGTTGTGATTACTGAAGACAAGAATTCGCTTCATATTCGAAGTGCCGAATCGAGGTTCGAAAAAGGACGAGACAGTGATTCCTATGTATGCCATGGCCACAACCCTAAATAAGCAAGAACACCTGCCAATCGAGATGTAAAAAAAAGCTTCCATTAGACGCGAATCTTTAGAAATGGGGCGTCGCGGCTTCTTTTGCGCTTAAATGAAGACTGCAGATGCAGGGTGCAGGTACAACGAAGCGATTCATAGCTCTATTTCCAGTCTCCGTATGGCGCGGAGGCAAGTGCGTTAAGAAGCGGCGCTAAGCAGCCTGAGAAAAGAGAACGGGAGGGAGGGTCCGAGGGGAATAGAGGTGGAGTTCGGCCGAAGACCGCTCGGTCCGCGGGAAGAGGGATGGGGAGGCAACCCCTGGCGGGTCGGGCCAGTCTCCAGCCCCGCCTTGCTTCTACTGAGCGGCGCACGACAGTGAGGCTGCGCGTGGATCTCCTCCTGCTGCCGGCTTCGAATGCGCGTTTTTCGTCCTCCTGGCTCATGCGTGGGGGGCATAGCTCAGTGGTAGAGCGCTCGCTTCGCATGCGAGAAGTCCCGGGTTCGAACCCCGGTGCCTCCACTTTTACTCTCCACGACTGTTTTTCATCGATGGTTCATCTTCTTTCGGCTGTACTGTCGCTGTGTCGCCTTTGTGGCCCTATTTCGACTGTTATTAACAGTCCTTATATTCGCACTTACAAAAAGGTCACTGATATACGATTGAAGTCGCTAAATTCATATTATTTCAGCGAGTTAATTCTAGTTGAAGAGTCGGTCAGATGGTCTCGTCTACAGTTTAATCACATCCTTCCAGACACCGCCAATATCGGAAAGCATATGCAAAAAATGCCTGTGAATCGACTGGGATCTTTAGAGTAAATGTGTTAAGATGCTGCCATCTGCTAAAATGATCACCCCCCGACCTTTCTGGTTGGCTGCTTGGTCAATCCTATTGTACTATACGATCATCAGTGCCGAGTGCATGGGCGGGTCGACGAACAGTGTCGCTCTCCTGTGGCGAAAGGTGATGAAAAAAAAAAAACCTTTCGAAACCGAGTTGGCTTTTCAAAGCGATACAGGTTCATACGATTCTCGGAACAGCTGCGTTTAATCGACCGATATTGCCTGTTGTTGCTTCATGGGGAACATTGTTATTATTGCCTGTCCGACAGGCAAATCGTCTGCTGCATGACACAATTCTGCGCGTCGGGGTTCCTCCTCTGTCGATAAAGGGGGCGTGACAGACTGCAACGCCTTCCCGGATTTGTTCTCGAGGGAGACGTCATTGTGGCCGAACGAAAGAACGGGTTACAAAACCCGATACGGATTCATTCAACACCTTCGATAATTGGCCGCGTTTTTTGGCGGAGGTGAAAAAGGGCGAAGGTGAAAAGAGTCTCCGATAGGGATCCTCGCGTTTCTTCGCTCTGATCGCCCCGCCGATGCGTCACCGAGCGGGTGTGCTCCACCTTCACGAGTTCTAAACGAGGTGGAAAAAAAAAAGAGGGGAACCGGCGACATGCACACACCAGAGGGGGAATTGGATGGCAAACAAAATGGCGATAAAACGTATTGGCTCAGCACTTTCACGCGAATTCCGACCCCGACTTCCCGGTTTCCGATAGAGCGTGCCTGCCCACGCCCTCCACACGACGTGGGACCGGTATCTCACCCCACACGACGTGGGACCTGTGTCTATGGACCTAAAATACCAAAATACCATAAATGTCGGAGAAACAACAGCTGCTGGTTCACCCCCTTCGAAACCCCCCCCCCCTGCCCCCCCCGCCTGATTCGGGAAACCTGCGTGGTTGAGCCTTGTTTCGCATTTTTCTGTCAAGCCTCGTTTAGCGGAATGACTGCTTCCGGCCCACCTATAATGCCGCTCGCGTTACGTTTCGTGTTCGTGCATCCCGATTCAATCGTTTCTGCGCTCCCCCTTTTGGGGGACCTCGGCGTGGGCCATGAAACGTGCCGATGACGATACACTATCGAAGACTGCTTCGGGGACAAAAATAAAAATAAAAATAAAACTTTTCCGCTCGGAGAAAACTAAAAGCTTCGCACGAAATCGTCGAGTAACGACACGGTCTCTTTATACCGTAACACCCGAAGACCTTGAAAAAATAATCATCCCACCGATCTCTGTCAATCTACGAGATAAGTACACTATCTTGCGAAAATATGAAGATCTGAACGAGGGGCCGAGGAAGTCCCCATGATTTGTGGGTTCGTCAGACGAGAGAAATCCGGTTCCGGGGCTCATCTTCCACCCATTCCAAAAAGCCGTGCGAGGGAAAAGAAACGGGGTGGGGAATCCGAGATGAAGGGGAGGAGCAATTAGAATTCCTCACAATGGACGAGGCCTAATTGACGCCTCGGCAAATCCCTCCGACGACAATGCGCGCCTGACAGCCCCCGGAGTGACGGATCAATCCCCACAATATCGTCTGACATCCTCCCACCGTCCTCGCACTGTCCTCCCACGACCGCCCCCTAATTGAGTGTCACAGTGGAAGCCACCCACAAGGGGGTCGCGAGGGGGGGGGGGGGAGGGGGACATCCGAGCCTCGATCGTCCTGCATATATCCCCGTAATGAAGGACTCAATAGCGCCTGTCAAGGCGATAATAGCCCGGTGAAGTGTCAACACCTCGTTTCTGGCCCGTTATCGCTGGAAGATACATGGATCCACGCACCACATCTGGACTCGCTCGATTTGGACGATCTTTGCGGCGGTTTTCGATGGCCTTGAACGTTTCGCGTCGATCTGAGGTTTTTCGTATTCTGCATCGGTGTGAGGAATTCCATAACCAGAAATATGGATTAAAAAAAAAAAAGAGGTGGGTACTTCTGAAATGCACAGCAAAAGATCGACCCATGCGAGGATTTTCTCGCCAAGGGAAATTTTTTCTTTAAAAAAAAAATTTATAGAATAGTTTAGGTCAAGTTGATTGATTCTGATTAGTTGATCTTGGCGAACGAAATGTCGGGGGTGGGACGAGCCTGACACTTGCCTGCATGCGGGTCCGCAGATATCACAAAATCTTATTTGAAACTGTTTCGAAATTCGTTCCAAACTTTTTTTCCCTGGAATCCGGATCCGGATCCGGATCCATCCGGATTTTCCGTGATTTTTTCGTGCCAAAAGTGAGTCGATGTCAACTCGGGTGGTCGCAACTTTCTCTCTAGTGGGTCACTTTGGATCTATTCCGCAATTATCGTTGAATTAGCGATGCAATTAGCATGATTTAAAAACCGGAGGCATCAATCCGATTAATCGGGACAGAAAGGAGATGGCAGAGTTTGATTGTTCTCTCGCCCAGGGCAGGTTTTAACCTCTTCCTCCACGTGGATGGAGCCCGCACGCGTTGGAGAGGTTCAGGTGTTCGCTCTACTTCTGTTCAGGGCACTGAGGGGGGCAGGGGGGCAGGGGCAGGGGGGCAGTGGGGGGGGGCGNGGGGGGGGGGGGGGGGGGGGGGGGGGGGGGGGGGGGGGCGAGAATTTGAAATTTGGCGCGTTTTCGTTCTTGGATTCGGTATTGTTCTGTTCTGCGGCGATCGTCAAAGAAGCAGCCTTCACTTCTCTTTGCGCTGATTGGACGCGTTTGCAGCGGAGGTAAAGAAAAAGGAAAAATTAACCTGGAGGACAATATGGGACATTTTGAAGGGGGCAGATTTGGAAAGAGTTCCCGAAGTCGAATGCAGAAAAAAATAAAACTGTCCTTGAGTGAATCTTCTGAACGACTACGTCTCCGTTTTCCCTAGCTTTTATCGGAACGATCGACTCCGAAGTGCGATTTAACCCCGATCGAGAAAAGAAGCCTCCGAGAGATTTTCCGGAGCGCCAGGACCGTTACGTGGAAAAATAAAGAAAAAACTCACAAAATTGTGGAGTGGTGCTGGAGAGCCGCGAGAGCGTCCCGTTCACGGTGCCGTCGGGGAAGACCTGTAACGTGAAGTGATGCTTGGACACGAGACACTTGAGCTGGTGGAGTCGGTACTCGGGCTTCCGATGCTGCGTTTGCATTGTCACAAGGAAGAAAAGCGGCGGTAGGAAGAAACGGGCCAACCCGGCCCTCATCACGTCCTAGCGGGCCGGTCCAAGCATCGCCCGGACCTTCCCGAACCAGCCAGCTTCTCCTCACACGGGATCCTCATGGATGGAGTCGCATTCGCATTCGCATTCGCGCTTGGTTCCTCCCTATTCGATCACCGTCGCGGCACTGGAGCGGTGGATGTCGAGTCCGCATCTCATCTGACCGGGCCGGGCTTTGGCGTGGCCTACAGACCAATGGAGTTTCGCTCAGGGTTGCCGGATCCTGGGACCGGTGAACGCGAGAGGTGGAGGTACTGCGGCGCGTCTGGTCCGTGAATGGCCTTTTATCTTCCGCGCGGAGGAGCGATTTCCTCTGATTTGCCGCGCGTCGAAGGATTCTCGGAGCTTCACGCACTGCTTCGAGTATTTTCGAGGCACGTCGTTAATGCTGTCGAGCGGGCACGGCTGCTCGGGATCCGAAGTGCCGCTGGGATCCACCTTCATCCGGCAGCACTGGCATCTCGCTCCTCGTCTCCCTCTCGCGCGTCTCTCCTCCCTCACTTTTCTCCCTCGCCCAAACAGCGACGTCAAGGGTTTTCTCTCGCCCCGTAATTGCCGCTGGGATCCCCGCGGTCACCTGCTGTCACCTGCTGTCACCTGCTGTCACCCAAGACGCGGGATTTGGCGTGACGGGAACTCTGCCGGAAAATGGAGTCTAATCCTCGTCACCCCGTTCGAGGAATTTGGGGAATTTTTTCGCCTGAAACAGAGAAATGAAAGCCTTCCGGGGAGGGAGACCACGTGACTTCCTGCGGGGGAGAAAGAGAAACAATATTATCGTGTGTGCCGTGCGACTACTTCCTGACCATTATATGCGCACAATCGTCATTCACGCGGTCGACCGACGTCATTTCCCTAGGATCTGCAAAACGGGGCGAGAGAGGGAAAATGTCCTCTTGAGGATCGTTCGAGAAAACGTGACGCGATTCGAGCCTCGAAATGAAAGGGCGGCGGTTTCGAGGCTGCGGAACAGAAACCGGCGGGGAATGGATTCGATGCCGGAGACGACGCAGATTTTTCTTCGTGGATGGAGATATCATAGATATGTACCATGTGTGGTCGTGTGATGTCGGCAACGCTGTAAAATTATAGTAAAATCTTTGGGGATTTTTTTTTTCCCCTTCGACAGCCTCGCCGTCGACCTGGTTTTCAGCATGTTTTCTGGGATGCTCAGAAATGGGTTGAAAAATCCATTTGAATGCTATTACGAAGAAGCCGACAGAAAGCCTGGGGCGCACCGAACGGCAAAGGTGGACAGAAATAACGCAACATCGAATCGCCGAGGAAGGGGGGGAGGGGGACGTTTCCAAAGGAGGACGCCAGACCACCATAAGGCGGGAGGTGTGAGAGGGGGGAGGCGTGGGGGGGGGGGGGGGGGGGGGGGGTTGGGGGACTGATTTCGCAGGCC